CCTGTTACCTGCAGAATGTCTCTGTGGCGCTGCAGCGTGTGCATCAGCGCCGCGTTCAGGGACGGTACGCCCGCGCTGTTGGTGTACTCTGCCATTTTGTCGTTTATCCCCGTCAGCTGCAGGAGGGAAAACAACCCCAAAAAAACCCATGAAACGGCTCCCTCTTGTACGAAAAATACCATGCAGGAGCTGAAGGAGCCGCCTGGACACACACACCTTGTCCAACCCCCACGCTGGCGTTTCCAAACGTCCCCCACACAACCCCGGGCCGTGGCATTTCCTGAAGGCTGCGGAAAAGCCACAGGAACTCCAGTTACCTTTCCCAGAAGCTGTTCAATCTCCACGGCCATGGTCTCAAACATCCTGTCCTGGCTTGATCCATTTAAGAGGGGAGTTGTGTCAGAGCTAAGGAAAAGGGGAGGAGCAGTTACTGAGAAGTGCATCATTCCACGAATGCAAGAAATAAGGAAAAAAAAGGGACAGGGGTTGGAAAGCTCCACTGCCCAGGAAAACTACATTTTCTTATCACGCCTGCCTTCAATTCTTATCTGAATGGATGACACAGTATCACCTGGGGGAAACACAACCTCTCCTTCGAAGACATGCCTGACACCACACACCTTTGTCTGGCACCAATGTCCTTCCCTCCCCAGCTTTTAAACTTGATTTTATTTATTTACTGGCAGGAGGGAGCACTGCACTGTTACAGCAACATAATCACACCTTAATAACACAGTGTTGGGACAACCCACCTACCTGTTAAGCAATCAATGCTCTACAGAGCAACACACACAATTACAGCTTCACACACCTTCCCTCTTTGCTCTTCAAGATAAACTAAAACCATAAGGAAAAGGAAAAGTCACATCTAAGACCAGCCTGTAGAAGTGTGACAACAAAGAATCCTCTGAGACAACTCCTGGCTTTGGTAATCTGCTTTAACTTGAGTAAGAGAAGTCAGTTTTGCACAGGACAGCAAAAATAATGAAAACAATTAGATTGCACATCAAGTAATAGCACAGAGCCAGAAACAAAACTGAAACTAAGGGCTCTGGCAGTCTCAGGCTTCCAGAACCAGAAATTCAGGGAAAGGTTCAAAATGGATTCATTCATCAAATTAAAAAAAAAAAAAAAAAAAAAAAATCAACACACACCCCTACAGTAATCACAGTCATAACTGATACAGTTAATAAACAAGGAATGGTAGTTTTTTAAGGTTGCACTCAGATAGAGAAGTTGATAATTCCTGCCATGGAACTGCAGGGAAGAGCTCACCTTTGGCCCCCAATATAGAAAGACTGGAAGAGTTTTATCAGACTAATTCTTCAGTCAAAGATGAGTCTGACCAAAGCAAACAGAAACTACTCATGTACATGCACAAGTACCCACTTATCTGGTTGATATATACACATACACATATAAAAATATACGTGCAGCTCTCCTCACTCTCATTAACACTGTCCCTGCCCGTGGCAGGAGGTTGGAATGAGATGACCTTTAAGGTACCTTCCAACCCAAACCATTCTGTGGTTCTGTGATTATCACCCACCTTAGGAGAAAGCCAGGAAGAAGGAGCCACCCCTGTGAAGAGAGGGCTTGTTCCCTGCCAGCCCTGCACCAGCCAGAGCTGCTCAGCCTTCCAGCTCCCTTAAAGCTGGGATTACAAATGGAAGCACCTGGGAGGTGTAAGGCTGCATTCCCCTAATGCTGCGGTCCCTGAAAACCTCCTGCTGGTTCAACATAATTATTATGTGATTATTATTAAACTGTGAAACAAGCCCATACAATGAGCATCCAGAACTTCTGTCACCAGTTCCAACTGACCTCACACAGACTGAACTTTAAACTCAGCTCTCCCCAGTGACAAGTGTCACCCACAGCCCCTCCTGACCCACACCCCGAAATCACATCAAGACCAACACCACCACCAAGTGCCGAAATGAGCCACAGGTGGGACCAGCACTCAGCAAACGACAAAAGCGAACCCAGCACCAGGGGCAGCGTTTAAAACATAAAGAAACGGGCTTAGTACCTATACCTGTCGCGCCTTCCGTCTCGGCCGCTGCTGTAGCTGGTGCAGAGCTTGCTGAAGGAGACCAGCTTCAGGTCCAGCTCGTTCTCCAGCTGCCTCGCCTGTTTCCTGAGATCTGCGCGGGGCGGGGGGACAGTCACGGACCCGCCCGGGGCCCCCGCGCCTCGGGGGGTCCCGGTCCCACAGACCGCCCGGGAGCCCCGGAAGAGGAACCCACAGGGGAAGGGGGGACCCTCGTGGCTGGGGGAGCGCCCCACGCCCAAAGAGAGGCCCGGCTGAGCACCCCTAGCCCTGCCCCACGGCCGCGGGGCTCCGCGGGCACCGGCGCCTCATGGCTGACGGGCCGGCACCGCCCGCGCCCGCCGGACCCCCGGAGGCGAGCAGAGGGGCCTCGGCGGCTGTGCCGTCGCGCCCTGCCCGGGCCGTGCCCCGGGGGAAGCCCCGCGGGGCGCGGCCGCCCCGGCCCCGCCGCCCCCGGCCCCACTCGCCTTCCCAGTAGTTGCTGCTCCCCGCCGCCATCTTTGTTGTCCAACGTCAGCCGCGGGCCGGCGCCGCCGAGGCGGGCGGGACGGAGCGGCCCCCGGCACGGGCGGGCCTCCTGCGGCAGCGCCGCCCAGCGGCCGGGCGGACACAGCGCCGCTCTCGGCACCGGCCCCATCCCGATCTCCCGGTGCAGATCCTGCTCCTCCTCCCCCCGGCCCTGATCTCCCGCTCCAGGTCCCGCTCATCCGGTGTCGATCCCGGTCCCCCGGTCCAGATCCTGCTCCCGATCCCGCTCGCCCCGTCTCGCTCCCTCTCTTCTCCTCGACCCCTGTCCCGATCCACTGATCCCAGTCCCCTAGCCCCGCTCCCTCTCCCCTGGTCCCGTTCCCGTTCCCCCGATCCCGGTTCCCGATCCCCCGGTGCCGCCCAGCGCCCTCTTCACAGCCCCGAGTCGCCCCTGCCCCGCAGCAGCAAGAACGAGAGAACCCACGTGGACATCAAAATAGTTTTATACAGATTATTGATCTCAGTATAACAGGTAAAAAACAGGCGGCGGCCGAGGGCAGAGCCGGGCCCGGCCCCGCGCCGCCCCCTCCCCTCCCGCTGCCAGGAATCGGCGATTCAAGTCCCTTTTAAAATTACATTTGAAGGCACAAGTGCACGGAGCGACAGCGGGGACCGGCTCCTCGGCACGGGAGGACACACGGACGGACGGACAGACGGAGCGAGGGCTCGGGGCAGCCGCTCCTGCCTTCCCAAAACTGCTCGGGAACGGTCCCAGCGCTTGCGAAGTTCTGAGCACAGAGCCGGGGCCAGAGCCAGGCACCTCCACCTGGTCCTGCTGCGTAGGAAAAGTCTCACACGTTTGCAAAACATCTCAAATCCACTCGCCTTAAATATACACGCCTACTCCAAGCTAACTGCGAAATGCACTCTGAGGGAAAGGGCCAGGACTTATTGCTAGAGGGACAAAGCACGGCCAGCTCTGCCCGTTACCTGCTGCCAGAGCAAACGAAGCCCAAAGAGAACCCTAAGAGCCATTTGCAAACTCGACTTCAAATAAAACCTACTCTGTCTCTTGTTAAAGGAGGAACAGTTCAGAGATGAGGCAGGATTAATGCTGTTGTCCTGCAGCCTGGTACACATGGAAAAGGGACACAGGACTAAAACCAATCCCCTGCTCAGCAGGATGAGCTGGGAACAGGCAGAGACATTCATGGTTCCTGCAGAACGAACAGGGCAGGGGGGACAGGAGCGTGGGGAATGCTCAGCCTCGTCTCCCTGTTCCCAGCACAGCACCTCAGCCACACCTCTTCATGTTTCTTGCAGTAGAATTCCCTGTGGAACAGGGAAGAAGGTACACTGGTGACTGAGGGTTCTCTCTGTGCCCCCAGATAGCTGCACAGAACCAGATGAGATGATGAGAACGACAGCACAGCCACGTAGTTCCGGCAGGGCATCACCACAGGCAGGGGTGAGGAACAGCCTCTTCCCCAGGTGACACAGCCCAACAGCCTCAAAAGGGGAACACAGTGTGCTGCTCCCCCAGAGCAGACCAGGTCAGAGCCCTGCAGAGCACACCCCATGACATATTTGGGTGCAAACATCCCCCCCATGGACATCACGTGAGGGTTTCTCTAGTGGACATCCCCAAGCTGCTGGAGGACAGAGCAGCTCAGGGCAAACTAGAGGCCTAAGGCTCCTGCACCCCAGAGATCAGGTCAGTGGGGCAAGAATTTAAAAAAGAAAACGAGCAGCAAGAAAATAAGTGCCTATTCTAACCCCAGCCTTTTGCCCAGAAAGCATAGGAACATCAGAGATGCACAAAGGCTTTAGAAATCAAGCATTTCAGCCATTCTTCCCTTCTGGACATCCCTTCTATTCCCCACAAATCCCACATGTCTTGGAGATGTGCGCTGCAGGTCCTCTTTCCAACCTCCTGCCAAGTGCTACACAACAGAATTTGGCTGCTTTTCCCTCCTCCTTCAGCACAAATTCAGCCCTTCCTCACACCTTGCCCCCCAGACCCAGAGCAGCCTCAGCTGCAGCCACACACACAGGTGGAGCTCCTGCTCTGCACTTCAGGGACGCTGCAGGAGCAGAACAGAACCAAACCAGCAGCTAATCTGCTGCCTGCCATCACCAGAGCTTGGTGACTGAAAATGGTATTATGTGGAAACTGACAAATGGTGCAGTTTTTCTTCCAAATTTAGTGCTAAAGTTGGGCCATGGATACTCCCACGACCTCTCCCTGCTGCTCCAGTACAAAGCAGTGGTATTCAGATTTCACTGTTTCCTCCTGAACAGTGGTGGATTTGAGCAAAGCTGATCAGGTGGAGCGGTAACTGATTGCTTTTCTACAATCAGTGAATCCATTCCCTTAGAACCACCTTCAGCTGCTCTTGCAGACACTGAGCTGTTGTAATATTAACATGAGACCTCCCCCAAAGCCAAGCCTATTACACAAACAAAACACAACCAGGGGTGATGGGGATAAAGTTTCTTTCTTCCCCAGAAGTCAGGAACAGCCCCGTGGCAGAGCTGGCAGGCAATGGAACTCTGTCAGAGTTCACTGAGGCTCTGACTTTCTCCAGCTCACATCAAGAATGATGTCATGTCCTCCAGCTTTCAGGGTGCCAAGCCACTCCCTGAAAATAATGACACATTAGAGGAGCTCCACAACCACTGCAGATCACAGCAGGCCACAGAATCCCATGGTGGGAAAAGCTCCAAGGGAACAGCTGAAAATCAAAGGCTTTTTTCTTTTTTGGGGGGGGCTTTTTCCAAGGGCTGCCCTGCAGAACGTGGAGTCGTGAAGGATCTGGCTTCCCCCCAAGCACAGAGTGGAAAATATGAAATCAAAACAGGTAGAGAAACCTTTTTGGAGTGTTGTAGCCACGACTCCAGGCAGGTAGGTCTTGGGGCACTTCCCCACCATCTATTCCCTGTGCTGAGATGCTGGGGAAGTGCTAAAACCTCTGCTGGCCACCCTGTCAAGTTGCCTCTCAAACCACTTCATGTGAACCTCCAGATCTTGACCCAAAAATGTCACAAAACCATGTCCTTATGCCAGAAACAGCCTCCAGCACCCACTGATTTGCACATACATAGGGACAGAGCAAACAGAGGGAAGCTGGGAGCTGCCACCTGCCCCTCTGGAGGACACCTGAAGCTGATGTCTCAAAACTGAACCACAGGGACCGCCCCCCACCACCGGCTCTGGTCCGTGGCAACCTCCTTCCTGCCCGGGAGGTGTCAGTGTTTGCTGGAGTACAGTGTTTCTTCTTCAGTGTCTGTTTCATCCTGGAATTCGTGGCTCAGGAGGGACTTCTTGGAGCCGGTGGACATCATGCGGATTTCGTCCTCGTAGTCGTCGTGGTGCTGCCGGAGGCGGTGGAAGCCGTCCTTGTGTCTGTTGGACTTGATGGAGCAGACACACCAGATGATGCAGGCAGTGAGGACCAGAGCAGACATACTTGCACCTGCCAGAGAGAGGACATGATTGTTAATGCCATGTTCCCTCACCACAGAGACTCCCAGGCTTGATCCCTCTTCCCTCCTACGGTCACAGCTGCTTTTCCTCACCTCACTGTGACCCTGCTCCTTCCTCCTAGGCCATGGAAGATGGGAGAGCTGCTCCCAGAACAGAACAGCACTCACTTTATTTTCTGTGCCTGCAGTCTAGGAGAGCATCACCGAGCTCCTCTGCAGACCACTGAGTCTAAACTCTCACCCCCCCCAGCAGCTTCCACCTTGATAACATAAAACAATCTCTTAATGCTCACTTGGTGCCACACCACCCAAAGAAACCTTGGGGAAGCAACCAGATCTCCCAGCTCCATGCACCAATTCTCCCCATTCCAGGCATCTCAAAGTACATTGTGGACCCCCCAAATCCCTGCAACACACTCTACTTCCCTCCCTCCTCCTGCTAGCCCAGCATCACCAGACCCATTGGACCAGTTTGCATGGAAAAGTGTGTTTTCAAAAGGGAAAGCTGGAGATGGCTTAAGTCTGAAGGCTGCTTTCCCAGATCAGCAGAGGGTCACGGTCAGCACGAACTGGTACAGAAAGCAAAGCTCAAAGCTTTGATAAAAAGTGTCACTTTACCTGCAACAGTTATAACCAGCTCCCTCGGCAGTCCAAAAATCCTGTTTTCGGTGTCAAATATTATGAAGACAGAGCTGGGTGCATCATCACGTACAAAGATCTGCACAAAGACACGAGAGATTAGATCACCTCAGAGTTTTCACCTGTACTGGGTGTCCAGACAAGAGAGACACTTGTCATCCACCCAGTCCTGCCCCAGCCAGCAAAGACAAGTGCAATGGAAAGAGAAGCCACTGCTCAAACAACCCCGCTGTGCTGGCAAGTTGTTCTCCATCCATTGCATCAAGGCAGAAAACAGCTCCTGATGGCACATAATCAGCAGCTAAACAGGGAAGTCTGTGTGTGCAGGGAGTGGGGGAAGATCCCTGACATGGACATTCACGCACCTTGACGTGTTTCTGCTGGTACCCGTTGGCTATGGCATCGATGCTGTGAAAACCTGGAGCCAGGAGCACGTGGAAATAGCCCCCTTCTTTAGTATAGACCCTCAAACCTTCATTCAGAACAATGGTAGCTTTAGAAATCGGCTTGCCACTCTTGTCTTGGACAATCCCGTGCACTCCCTTATGAACCTGAAACGAAGCATTTCAGACACTTCACCTTCAGGTCCAAGCGTACGGTGCCTTTGGAAATGAAATAGGATCTGACCTCCCCCCCAAAATACAGCCCCCTCCCCAGCCCTGACCCCCACAATAAATAAAACTGCAAGGCAACACAGCACAGATGTTTAACTCTCGTGTCAACATGTCCTGGTCACTTGCTGCCTCTGTTCAACCCACTCCTCATACAGCCTAAGTTACGACTGTCTGTAATTACACAGCACCAACAAAACCACAAAGACTCTCCATGCTGTTCTTTTCCTCTCCCCCTCCCCACTACCTTCACTCCTTGCCAGAATTTCCTCCCACAGACCACAGCTCACCTCCACAAGCATGCTAAGGAGAGATTTCCTGTGGTCTGCCCACAGGCCAGGAAGCTGTCCAGCGCTCGGGAAGTAGCAGCAGCTGGTGTAAACAGTGATCTCAGGACAATGACCAAATGTCACGCTGAAATCCTGCAAAAAACATCACCGCAGTTACAAAAAAAAAAAAAAAAAGAGGTATTAAAAAATGTAAGAGGTATTGCAAAATGCAGCCAAAGGCAGGGAAGTTTTGCCCAGATATCAGAAAAAATAGGGTTTTTATTGGTTGTTTAGCAGACACGGAAAGCCTCGTGCCATGCAGCAGTACCTTCATGCTTCCTAAATGACTGTGCCATTCAGAGCCACGGATCACACCACCAGGAATATTCTCATCTGTGAGAGCAAGAACACAGCTGTCAGACAGAGCTGCTCCGGCAGAGTCTGCCACAAGCTGACAGGGGGTTAAAAGATTCAACCAAACATACCTGACTTATTTGGACAGCCTGGCTGGCCCAAGTGCATCACTGGGTGGTTGTTTGCATACAGAGATGCCAAATGCTTTAGTGTTTCTTTGTTCTCCACTACAACGAGAAAAGTGAGGCTTTGAGAGTGCAACTCCCATTACCTGGAGGGGCAGATTCCCGTTCTAACCCCACAGTCCTGTACTAAACAGTGACACACATTGTTCCAGGGGCATTCCTGATTTCCTCTGACACCGAGGGGCTGTATTAAAAGCAGACTTTGCATTGACTTTGGCAGAGGAAAGGTTGAAATACTGTTGTAGGAACAGAAGTTGTAGGTGTTCTGATCCTTAGCTGAACCCTGAGAGGTTTCATAGCTTTACTTACAGACTGTCAACTCCATATACAAAGGGCTGAAAACAAAGGAGGCTACAGAACACCAGCAGCTCAAACAGCTCTGACACCACGGGGTCAACACGAACTTGTGGAGAGACAGCCCCAGGGTAACTGTGCACTCTGTCATACCTGACTGGGTTGGCTTATCATATGGGTAGGTGACAAGAAGGGATCCTCCATCCAGGGCAACAGAGAGGCTGAAATCTTGCTTCAGGATCAAGTTCTCCATGATGGCTTTGGTCTCAGGCTCTCGTGTCCCCAAGTACCGGGTGTAGTTGCCTGTAAATCAGAACAGCAAATAGAACCAGTTTCCTCAGCTGTTTGAGAGGCCAGAAGGACATCCTTTATGTCTTAATTTAAGTCTGCTGCACGTATTAAAAAGTATCTGTTAGATCTCAGCAGATGCACCTGACTGATCAAGTAAAGCACCCAGTCCTCACTACCCACAGGGGGAATTCATCTGCAAAGCTAAGCAGATGTGAAGCATCACTACTTCCCCAGGCTACTCAGTTTTGTGTTGCAGAGGGTGTTTCATGTTTGTCTGCTCACAACAAACAATGTCACAGAATGGACATTTTGTGAAGAAAGCATTTGGGATGATCCCAGCCCAACTTGGGCAGAGAACACTTCCTCCTCAGGAAGAGCGGGCATAGCACTGATACAGTGCTATGGCTACAGTTACATGGAAACCAGAAAAGCACCAAAAAAAGGAGACTGTTTCTGGGGAGCACAAACAGAGAGCATTTTTTTGAGAGATGAAAGAAATCAATGAAGAGTAAAAAATATATCAGGTGTTATCTGACCTCGGGACTATTCCTAAAGAACTCTGCTTCATCTCTTGCACATAAAGAGACTGCAAATTCCTGTCTGTAAGGGGGATTCAAGCTGTGGAAGCTTGCCAGCAGTTGTGCTGCCTGGACTCCAGGGCAGGAGTGCTGCCCTCTTTAGAGGCAGATCCTCTATCTGAACAACTCCACCCAGCTCCAGAGCAGGAGACTCCTGCAGCAGGGACACTACACATCACTGCTCTGCTCTGCTTTACTTGTAAAGTCCGTGTCCAGATCTCTGCCATGAGCGTTAGTCCGGCCTATGCTGGACGTGCAGCCCCTCTCCTGGGCGACCTCGCGTCCGTCCGGGTTCAGGGAAGGCACAATCACAATCCGTGTCCGGTCAATCAGCTGAGCAAGAGCAGAAACAGTGCACAAGGTGCAATTAGTAGGGTTCATCCTCTGGACAGCTCATTTCCCCAGAGCTCATCCTAGGAACTGCAGTTTGAGGCTCCCATTCCCTCCACGGATCGCACACCTCCCTCTTACACACAGGATCACCGCGAGCCCCAGGCCGGTGTCAGCAAGACGAGTCCCTCCCAGTGGGCACTGCCACCTCAGGAAGGCTCAAGGTGATCCCTTGCAGTGGTCCCTCACCTTTGTAACAGCAGCGTTCTTCTTGTAGTTCATGCAAAGGAATTCTGCCAGGGTCAGGAGCAGCTCTGTCCCCACAGGAGCGTTGCCGTGAATACCGGCAACAAAGCGGATCTTGGGCTCCTCGGGCTCAGACTGGTTGGGCTTGTTGGAGATTTCAAGGGACCAGATCTGACGGAACTCGACACTCTGACCCAAACTGCCAAGAGAAGAGAAACGTGCGTGTCAGCTCAGGAACTGAGCTGCAACTCCAGCCTGACCTCACGGAGAAATCCCACAGTGGAAAGGAACCCCACTGAGGAGGCTGCAAAGGCAAGCAAAACACAACCACATCACGAGGGCAGATTTGCAGCAGCACTGAATAGAATTCACCAGGAACATCAGTTTGAACAGCAGCATCTGTGTAAGAGTGTATCCAGGACACCCAGTGCTCCCTACATCTCCATATAGCCCATGAGAGCAGGATAAGCGTGGAACTGTTGGATGTCTCTGTGCTGCCAATGGTGGTTGTTGTTTTGGGTTTGTTTGTGTTTTTTTTTTTTTTTTCTTCAGAGCAGGATACACCTGGACATCAAACTAATTTATCAACTACCCAGTGTGGAAGACAAAAGGGGCCTGTTCCCAGTAATGCAGGAGCTGTTGCTACAGTCATGCCATTAAGATGGCAAATTGAATGCAGGGAAAGCAGGGAACAGACTCAGGGCTGATGCAACTGCAGGGACAATAGAGGCTACAGATCAGCAAAGCAGCCTTGGCACCAGTGGGGACAGCACATGAGCACATTGTGCCTGGTGGCAACAAGCAAATGAGGTCCTGGGACAAAGGGATTTGTGCTCTCTAAAGCTGACAGAGGGTAAGGTTACAAAGGAAAGCAGAGGATGGCAGCAGCTGGTCTCCTGCAGGAGGGCAGAGACCTTGGCTCAGGGCAAGCTCACTCAAACGTGTCTCACACTACTGAAATAAAATCTGGAGGCAGACAATGAAAAAAGGCCATCTGAGATCTGTAAGTCAAACCAGATCATTTTTGATGGGGGCTCTTTAGCAGGGTGGATGTCAGAAAGGATTTAGAAAAGAAATGGAGAGCATGGAACAGAGGCATTTGCAGAAGCCTGAGATATCAATGCTGGGAATATCGCCAGTCCCAGGCACACCTGGGGAACCAAGAGCACTCCAGGTTTAAGTCAATAAAATGATGTCTCAGGAAAAAGCACACAGACATAGTGCCCTGCCACCATGTCCTTACACATGGGGCTCCCTCCATCTCAGGGAGCACAGGGAAGGGGAGGGATGAGCTCCCCATCTGTGTTCACAGCTCACAATTTCACAACATCCCTACCTCAGGCTGCTGCTCAGGGAGGAGCTGAGCACTGCTGCTTTGTTCTCACCTGGTGAGATTTGTGATGTGTGGGTAGTTCAGGTAGAGGCCTCGGAGGAACTCGGAGAGGTCCTTGTACGGGCGGTACCGGTACGGAGCCACATCCCGGGAGGAGGTGAGCAGGAGCCTCTCCAGACCATTCTCAGCAGACAGATCTTTGATCAGGGTCTCAAACTCCTTCTCGTTGGGGTTGCTTGTGTCTGGGGTGTTCAAGACCAGCACCTTTCCCTCCTCCATTTTGCTGTCTGTCCGTGACAGAGTGAAGTTGACCTGCACCCCACCTTTGCTGCCAACTTCCACCATCTTAGTGACTGGATCATACCTGCCCAGGGAGAAGATGATACAAGGAAACATCAGGCATTTGAGACCTCAGACAACAGGCCATCCCTTCCTTACCACATTTTCACGTGGGACTGCTATTGCTCCCCAGCCTTGAGTGAGAAGGGTAGAAACGAGGAGCAAGAACAGTTCAAAAGGGAATGGGAATGGCAGGACAGGGAACAGCTCAGGGCCCAACATGGCGCTGAGCTGCTTTTGGCTCAGGTGTTGCAGGGTTACGTGGCAGACTGGCAAGACAGCAAGTCAGGCTGCTTTAACACAGAGTTTTGGCAGCAGTTGAAGTGATGAAGTCATTCCTGTGGGCAGCTGCCTGGAAGAGAATTTCCCCTAAGGACACTGAGTTATCCACTCCTTCACCAGATCACCTCCAAACAAGGGAAGATTGGGACTGCACACCAGAGCCAGGTGAGCAGTCTCTGACATCAGGGTAGCCTCACACTGCTCTCTCTCTGCACTGCCCATTCCTACATCTGCTGTGGGCAGAGGGGCTGGGATACTCCAGACGGGGCAGTCAGTCCCGCAGCTGCTCGTGCCGTGGCTCGCTCACCCTCGGGCGGACGCTGTGATTTTGTAAGTCCCCGGGACCAGGAGGCGCCAGTAGTCTCCGTCCTTGTAGGTGGTCACGGGGTGGTTGATGTCGGCCACGCTGATGGTGGCGTTGAGAATGCCCCTCTTGTCCACAGCATCCAGCACAAAGCCCCAGACGCCGAGGTGAACCTGCGCACAGACCCGAGCCCTGCTGAGACACGGCCCTCGCCGACACCCGCGCCCCACCACCTCCCACCCGGGACTTCCAGCGTTCCCAGAGGAGCAGGATGTTCCAAAAGGGTTCAGGTTAGACTGGCCAGTAGCTGGAGTGGCCAAAGATCACCTGCTGAGTACAATGAGCAATTGTTTGGCTGTGGGTGCCAGCACGGCACTCGCTGCTCCACACCTTTGTTTGCACACCCCAGGTGTGCAGCAGCCCCGGCTCAGGTAGGAACAGCACGTAAGGACCACTCCTGCCTAGGGAAACCCAAGGTAGTGGTACATAAAAAGCCCACACCTGCATCACCTGGCTGCTATTTCCATGCAGATTTTCGGTATGTTGAGAAGGAGGGGACAAAAGGAGTTGTGACAGGTTCTGATGGGGATGATTTCTGTGGAGCAGGTACCTGGCCTGGCCAGGAAGCAGCACTTGCTTCGGCCCATAGATCAGCTTTTTTGTTGTGGTATGTCTAAAACAAACCCCAGAAGCAGCTCACGTGACTGCCTGAGGTCCAAGTGTCCCACCTGTTTCATGAACTGCAGCAGTGATCGGCGGTTCTGGGCCCAGTACTTGGGCAGCTCCTCAGCTTTTGGGTATTTCACACAGCCCAGCTCAATGGTCACTTCAAAGCAGTTTGTATGCAAGTAATTCCAGTCCTGCATCCCACCTACAACAGGAATGCAAAAAGAATTTTGACAAGGTCTTCTGAAGTATCACAGTTAAAACAAAATATCAGACAGCAGAGAAAGATGAAGTACAAACTTGAAGGGAGAAGGCTTTTACACAGGGCAGGATTCAAGCTTCAAAGAGATGCCAAAAGAGCAGACAAATAACCTTCCTTCTTGTAAATACCTTTCATGCTAATAAAGTGCTGTAAAATTTTATGAAACCATTCTGCTAATAGCCAGGAAAACTACACTATAAATTCCTTCCCCCAGGAATAACTTTATCTGGGTACATTATTGAAGAGGTTATAAAAGAAGCCTGAGTCCCATTAATCTGGGCTGACCAGTGCAGAGCTCCTGAATGATTAGACTAAATTATTTAAGCTGCACATGCATTAACTTGGGAGACACACAGTGCAGGAGATTTAAGGGGTACTTTACCTGGAACATTGTACCACTGAGCCCCATTAGTGATGCCGTGTGGGAAGTACTCAGTGGGGTACATATCCTTACAAGGGCTTCCCTGGTACATCTTCGCATTTTCCTATAAAACAAGATGCAACATGTGAAGCTGAGTCTGCACTCCACAGCCACTGGCACTTCTGCTCTACCATGAGTCACATGCTTGGTGTTACCAAACAGAGGTTCACGCAGAGGTGTGTTTGTGTGGCTGCAGCACCAACTGCACCCACACCCAAACACAACCCAGAGATATCCCTGCCCTCCTCCCAGCCAGTTAACAGCATTTTCCAACACCCTTCAGTGTGTTGTTCCCTGAGCCTGCACAGAGCTCTGTCTCCTCCCTCAGTGCCTGCAGATGGAGTGTGCTGGACATCACTCGTGGAACAGGGGTCTCCTGGGGGACCCTTCTGCTGTGCCTGCAACACCAGGCACCCACAGTACCTGTGCCCACCTTTACCAGCTGCTCAGGAGGTTCCCTGGAGCTCACCCAGCAGGATGAGCCCATGATCCTGTTCGAGCCTTACCTTGGAGTAGGCAAGTGCCAACTTCTGGAACACAGCATCGTCTGGGGATTTACTGTAGATGGCTATTCCTTGCTCATCGTCATCAAAGGGGTAATTAACCACCAGAGAACCTGCAGGCAAAACAAGCTTTGGCTCATAGTTGGGTGCTTTCCCAGTCATCCCTCAGCATAGTTAGGGAAATTATTCCCCAGCGAGTGCCAAGTCTTCTGTTTCTCAGGACTTGGCATCAAACAAAGCATTAAGCCCAGTGGATAGAAAAGACAACAGAAGCACAGGAAGAGATAACACCAAAGGTGAACCAAAGCCTCGACACATCACAGCTTTGGCTCCTACACGAAGGAGGGCTGAGCACAACCACATAATAATTGCTTTCACAGGGAAGTGAAAGCAAGGGGAGGAATTTCCTACAGCATGCATGATGCTTTTGACCCAAATGATGCAGTTTTTCAGCCTTCTGGAGTTTGTTGCTGAAGGTTTCCCTAAGGAAGCTGTACTAATAGCACCATGAAACCCCAGACACCACCGCTGCTGGACACCTGCCAGCCCCCTCATCCCCACACACGGTACTTCTGCACTACAAACAAAACATGCTGGCACAAAGCAGCCACCTGCAAATTACCACAGCTACAAGCCAGCAGACAAACTGTCCAGGGAATAAGCTGTAATACACAGAGACTTCATTTAGATTATTCCAAAAAAGATAATTAAATTACAGCAAATTTCATAGTTCCGCCATGCGATTCAAGGCAGGGATTGCATTCACTTTGTAAACACTGTGAAGCCTTTAACAGCCACAGCTCTGCATCCCATTCCCAGACCAGCTGCTGAGCAAGCGCTGACAAGAGTCCATCTCCATCTGCCATGATCTGCCATGATCGTTCCCATCTGCTCCCTTCAGAGAAGTGGTTGGGATCTTCCCAGCAGCCTCTTTAACTCTCTCCAAACACGTTTGGGGACATGGTTTTTCACCCTATGTTTCTACCTTCTCCTCCATCTCGCAGCAGGAGAGCTCCTCGGTGCACACCTAGAACACTGTGGAGATATCCCTGCACACTCCCACCCATCCCACAAACCCCAGCCCAGAGGAAGGAGCTCGGATTGCTCGTGGTACCTCCGTGCAGGTTTGCCGACAGCACAAACGGGTAAGACTTCAACCAGGCCATGACAGCAAGAGTTTCTGGCTGTGGAGGGTCTGTCACGTGGACAAACTGATCTGGAAAGTTCCGGTTCAGGTCGTAGTTGTTGCTGTTGTTTCTGCCAACGGTACCTCCTTTGTCTCCTGAAAATTAAACACCGGTTGAAGCTCGTGCCCAGTGAAGCTCCCACTTTGGCACAGAGGCTTCACCGAGAGAGGGGCACCCACACTCCCCTTCAGGAATGCCTGGGGGCCCTTCCAGTGGGTGTCTGCTCAGGCTCTCAGTGCCACTGAGACCTCAGCCAGCGGAGGGGCACCGAACCATGAACAATCTGTGCAGCCGGATGTCGCGACCGCAGAAACCTCAGAGCTCCCCTCCTCAAACCAGCCGGGCAAGTTCTTTGTCAGACCCGAGCAGAGCTCTGCTTCCAGCAGGTGATTCTGGACGCACTTTGTTCTGCCAATCTGCAAGGGCCACGTAGTTTTAAGACTTCCCCGAAGGATGTTTTTGCCAATTTCAGCCTCATGATAAAAGTCTGTGTTATCCATGGACAAGCGCTCTGCAGACAGCCTGGCTCCCACAGCACATTTACTGAGAGAATGGACCAAAGCACAGCAAGGCAAGAGCTGTGTCAAAGAAATGTCTTTTTTTTTAAATAAGCCCTGGATTAGACACAAACCATATGGGAACCCAAAGAGGGGCAACATATAGCTCTGCTGAAGCTTAAGAGCTCTCTCCAACAGCTTCCAGCATCCATCAAGCACCCACATCCTGCAGTCCGTGTCCACCCACTGATCACTTCCCCAAGTCCCTTCCCAGCCTCCCTGTGCAGAGAGCACATCTGCTCCAGCACGGCTCCCAGATTTCCCAGAGGTACCATGAACCCAAAAGGCTTATTCTCAGAGCTAGAAACCCCACAGACGTTTCAGCACAGACAGCAATACCTTCCTGGGATCTCTCATAGCCATCAGGGTTCATAGACGGCATGATGTGGATCCGTGTGCTCTGGACCAACTCAGTCACTTCAGGATCTGTGCCAAAGTTCTTGCAGAGGTATTCGATGAGGTTCAGGAGAAGCTCTCGCCCCACAACCTCATTCCCGTGCATGTTCCCGATGTACTTGAACTCTGGTTCACCTGCAGACATCGGTGACATCAAAGAGACAATTACAGCCACCACTTGGAGATACCTCACCACCATGAGCATTGCTCTTGCAGGTTTTGCTGCAAGGTATTTAACTAAAAATCTACCCTCTGCTCCCACATCACCAAAAAGAACAATGTCTCAGGGAAGCCCCTTGCTCCTTCTGTCCCCAGGGCTTCATGACCAGCACAAATGTCCCCAGCAATGCTCCCCACACAAGTGCCACCCACTGCACTTGCACTTCTTACAAAGGATATGCAAGGAGCAGCTCAGTCTCTACTGAGGCAGGTGCCAGCTCTACACTCCTTTCTGCTCTGCCCACAGTCTCCCGCTGCAAGGGGTCTGTCACTTGCTAAGAAGGATTTCCCACATCACCTGCTTCGTGGATGCCGGGGTTGTCAGAGATCTCCATCACGTAGAGCTCCCGCAGCTCCACGGACTTGCCGACAGAGTAGAGGCGGGTTATGTTGGGATACTCGTTGGCGTAACGCCGCAGGAAGATCTCCATGTCCGAGAAGTGATGGTGGCGGAAGTCCACGGGCTGGATGGGTTCATGGAGAGAGGTTGGATTTGGGGCTTCTGTCGGCACAGGGGTGGGGGTGACGGTAGTGGCAGGAGCCGGCGCTGTCGCGAACTGGGTGACATTAAGAGCTGGTGGCATCACAGTTGGCTGCAAGGAAAAGTTCACTTCTGTTGCGTCTCCCTCCTTCACCTCGACGTTCTCTTTGGTCACTGGGGTGTAACTGTGAAAAAAACAACTGGCTTCAGCAAGGAGGCTCTGCAAACGGAGGGAAAACAAATTCCTGCAGTCCCTCCACCACACCAGCCCAAACACCCTGGGATATTAATGACCTTGTGAAAGATTCACCAGGAACAGCTGATGGGACATATCCCACTACCACTGAACCCAGCTCTGCTGCTGTCCTTGATGCATCAGAGACGAGTTCCTGTTTACAGGCTCAGCAGGGAAGAAGCCCCAGGTGTATCACAGAACAAGCCAAGAGGCAAGTGACACATTCACACCCAGGCTTGGGACAACACCAACTCCTACTGGGGTGACCCCACTCCGCTTTCTCCCTTTGCACAAAAGTAAGATGCAGTTTGATACAAGCAGTCAAACAAAGGTGACAAAAATTCTGTGTATTCAACAGCACCCCACTGCAACAGGGCACAGGGTGAGCAAACACAGCTGCAGCTCTGAGCTGGAGGCCTTTACAGCCAAGCCTCTTAAACACGTAAGGTGCTGGGGGGGAGGAAAACAAGTGAAGGAAGAGGAGCAGTTGGCAGTGTGGACACAGGCTGCCACAGAGACATTACCCCACGGCAACTGCAGTCACATTGTAGGTCCCAGGCACGAGCAGCCGGTGGTAATCCCCAAATTTGCCCGCTGTGATGTTGTGAGCGATACCGGCAACAGCGATGGTCGCGTTGTCCAGGCCAGCTCCAGTGACTGCATCCTTGACAAAGCCTTTCACACCAATGTGAACCTGAGGAAAACAATGCAAGGGCCTGGCTGAAGACAGACAACATCAGGGGAACCGTGTCCTCGGTCCCTCTAACACTGCACCCCATGAGGTCCCTCTCGCCAGAGCTCTGTTATTGTGGAGGCTGTGGGAGCTGTGGCAGAACCACAGAGATACACAGCAGCTTTGTAGCCACCCACCTCCACACAACAGCTGCTGCAGCTGTGCTACCTCACACAGCAAACAAAGTCACAAGAGCACCCGAGCACGCTGCTCCCAGCCTGTCACAGGCACACGGGTTTCCCAGGCTGCCGCCCCCACACCCAGCCCAGCCCACACTTACCTTCTCAATGAAAGCAAGGAGAGACTCCCTGTTGTTCTCCCACTCCTTCTGAAGCTCAGAGGTTGGAGGATATTTGCAGCAGGACAGCTCCAGTGTGATCTCAAAGCAGCTGGCCCACACGTAGTTGTAATCCTGCATCCCACCTGAGAAAGGGAGGCACAGACATGGCCCAGGGGCAATGCACACACATCCCACCCCAGGATGCACCTTGTCCTTCAGCCCCCCTCAGCACCTCCCCAGGATGCTGCCCCAGCTCCAGAGGGAGCAACCTAAGGACACAAATCAGGTCAGATTATCATGACAGCCAGGGAAGACTGAGCTCCACTTCTCCCAGTAACGAGCACACTGGGCCACTCAAATCAGCCACCGACAGCTCAAAGTTCCTTTGGTCTCACTGCTCCATCAGCTGAACTTGGCAACACAGCACTTGGAAATTCATATGGGTTCATTTTACATTTCCAGACACAGCAAACCCAGTACAGCAGGGCAGGCACACCGGACTCGGAACATTCCCACTGCCATCACTGTGCATTCCAAAATACCTTCACGTTTGTGAGGTCTGCCTGTGGGAGAAGTTACTTCTCCCAAAATGAGCTTGAGGTCTCTGATACAAAAGAACACAATGGACTATCAGCCTGGGAGGTGGCCACTCGAATCTGCATGCTGAAATCACTTTCAAGGGCCACAAAATTGTTCTCCCAAAAGTCTCTTTGCAAAACTCCAGACAAGGCGAGAGCAATGCTTCCCCTTCTCTAACTCCTCAGGTGCAATTTTCCTCCAAATCCTTATTAGAAGATCTGCATTTACTTGATATTTAGTGCAGCCCTGGCAGAAAGTCTGTCAAGGTCTGACATAGTGAGAGTGTGCAGTGAACTGCAGCAAGTTCCCTTCAGGAAACTCTCTTCTCAGTTTAGGAGGGCAGTGATGCCTCCCTCATTGCCGAGGCCTCCTGCAACCCCACAGCAGCCAGGTCCTGCAAGGGGAGTACAGGACAGATTTATGCACCTGAGAAAGGCTGAGAAACTTGTTCTTGGCCAACACAGCACTTGGAAATTCATGATCTGGAGCCCAGACCTGAGCATGCTGCTGGAGATTGCAAGTGTTCAGCCCTTTAAACATTTACGGGAGCTTTCAGTAGTAAAAAGGACATTCCAAAACCACCACAAGTCCGTGAAACAGGTTTCAGAGTCAGCCTGACAAATCCCACCACATGACTGTAGCCAGACGTCATGACCACATGAGAGGATTGTTCCCACCACCCACTCAGGCAGTTGGGTCAGTAGGAAAGACACACCACACTACGTTTTAGGCGTGCTGGTGATGTCTTCTGGGTTACACAACCTTATCCAGTTACATCCCAGTCAGAATGGAGTGTCAGACTGCAACCACCGAGCCCAGAGAGCTCCACACCCCAGTGGAACAGCTCCCAGTGCCAGCTGGACACAGGGGCCCAGGCAATGGGCCTCTTCTGCATGAGCTGAGGAAGTCAAAGTGGCTCTCAGAAGCCCGCCCATCTCTCAGGGAACAGCTCTGCATTTTCCCCACAGGAGGCAGATGCAAAGTCCAGGAGAAGGAAAGCAGAAGGCCTGTGGCAGGTGTCCTGCAGAACCCCAGCAGGCTCTGTACTCCCACCCTCTGCCTGGCCCACTGAAGTGCTACGTTAGTGCTGGGCCAACAAACTTCACCTGCTCTGTCTGAGCAGTTTCCTGATCATTCCCAAGCCAGGGGAGGGACCCTCCGTGGTGCTGGTCAGCTAAGTGCCCAGAATGGATCCTTATCCCAGTGCAAACGCACTGCCTGGCACTGGCAGAGCCTGTGTTAATGCACAGCCAACAACAGCCACCAGCAGCACTGTGCCAAGCAAGGGAGGCTTTACAGCAAAGGTGGTGGCTCAAAAAGTCAGGGACCACTGCTCTGAATTCAACAGCCCCACTGCAGTCCAGCAAAGCAGGGAGGAACTGAGAGCCTAAAGTAGGATTTAGAACAGACCCCTGGGAGGATGTGCAGGATGGTACCACAACAAAGATGTCCCAGTTCCTCTCAGCTCTCCTGGGAGTCTGCTGCTAGGGGAACGCAGGGCTTTTATTGTAACAAATTAAATGTCACTGGCAGCCAGAAGGAGAGCTCTGCCGCTCGTGCATGGGCTGACGGCAAAACAGGAAAGGGACTCTTCTGTCCAGCACGAGGGGCCAGAAAGTGTTTGAGGGTTTTATAACTCTCCAGCTCAGTTCAAAGGGTTAGAGAAACAAGGCCTGTGAATCTGATCCCCCCTCAGCTCTGCTCAGCTCCCCTTACCAGGCTCAGAACAGCAAAGCACAGCGGGCTCCTCTCTCGCCAGTAAACACCACGCGAGTGAAACAATTTGCCAGCCCATAACCATCTGCTCATAGCAGGATGCTAATGCATTTGAAAACATCCATACGTAAACCAGAGCCATTATGAAACATATTTAGCGCTTCATCTGCCATTCAAGCAAATTTAGGACAGATGCTCACCCATAATAGAGCAGCAACGGACTAAATTAGAGCTTGCTACATCAATTTTGGTAAAACTGCTTCTTGGAGAAAGTAGTCCACTGCATTCTTGAAAATTTGGATTGTATCCATTGCACATATTTGGCCTTCACATGGCTCTGTTGCAGAGCAGGACAGCTATTTTTACAGCACGTGGAACTACGTATTTTCCCCATGTACCATCTGCACAACCTCTCCTGGCTCTGCAGAGATCTGGAGGGGTAAAGAGAGACCTGTGCTCAGCCAGGAGTAGAGCAGAAAAAACACCCTTGAAGCAGAGAACTGTCAGACTAGAGGACAGTGCTTCTACTCTGTTTGAGTAACAGCTGGGATAACCTGAGGGATTTATTTCCGCATTTTTAACCACAGGGTGTCTTTTAGCAAAGACACTGCAAGAAGTTGGGTTTTTTTTAACACTACAAAAAGTTCCAGCCTCCCCATGAAGCACTATAGCCATGTCGTCAGTGAGGAAAGAAAAGGGAAAATGAGCAGCTTAGTGTCACAGCAAGTCGGTCCCTGGCTAGCAGCAGGTCACAAACATGCTCAGAACAAACCTCTCTCCTGCTGTATTCCTCTCCCTGAGCATCAGAACTGTGCTTCAGGCAGGGATCCCAGACCTCCTGCAGCACAAGCACTGCAGAGCTCACAGTGACGGGCAGGGCTGCCTCTGCTCCCTGCCAAGCTCAAACCAGGGGAATGCAGCTCTCCAGAGTCAAGCCTGGCGATCCAGATACCATAAATACTCCACGTGCCAAGAGAAGCCTTCCAGGCCAGCCAAGAAGGACTCTATTTTCAAACTGCACCATGCAGAAAACTAATTCCAGCTCTCACTGGAGCTGACATCAGGAGATAAGAGACCTGCAGCGAAGTTAAAGCAGAGAAGCAGGTCGTGTCTGCTCTGCAGAGAGAGCAGATGGCACCAAGCAAGCTGGAGATGTGATTCAATATGTGGCATAAGTTGCTGACTCTGTGGATAAAACCAATCATCTCACAGCGGGAGATCAGGGGAGCACCAGGAGCAGCACCAAAGAGGCAGAGGAATGTTCTGGTCTATTAGTCTGCAATCATTAAAGCTCAGAGGAGGTGAGGTCTGAGCCTCCAACCGAAGAAGCTGCATCACAGCCCAGAGCAGCAAAGCCCTACAGCCTTCTCTCTAAGAAAAGGGCAGAGTCTTCCCAAGAGCTGCACCAGCACAGCACTGCCCAGCAGCTCATGACAGACATGAAAGGAGGCATCTGACCCTCAAACCATCAAGCCAGTGCTTTTCTCAAGAAGAAAAAGAATTTCAGTAAGAATTTTATGAAAAAAAAAAAAAAAAAAAGCACAGAAAATTGGGCACAGCTCAGAAAGACACGGCTGAGAGCTCCTACCAGAGCTCACTCTGGGTGCTCCGTGCTGTGCCCAGGAAACCGAGGCCACCACAGCAATGCCAGGAGCACTCCCTGCTGTCAGCACTCATTCTAACTGCTCTGAGTTTGATGCCACCAAAAGCTGTTTGTTTGGAAGCTCAGGGTGGTTGGTAACCACAGACAAAGCAACCTAGTCAGCTACTCAAGTAACCTAAATCCACTTCCAACCTGAGACGTGCCTTGAGATCAGAAACATCTCTAACACTTGGGCATCAAAGAACCAAACTAGCAAGAAAATAACTTTTAGGAAGGGACCACACGTAACAACAAACTTTCCAAGGCTGCCCACAAAATACACTGCTGAACTTCATGTTGAATTCAGTTTCTGAACTGGGCTCTTAAAAAAAAGGGGCAAACCACATCCTGCCCACAGATAAGACTAGAGAGGTTTCTTAGCTGCTTTCTATACCCCAGTCCATGGGGGTAAATGCATGCATTTACTTGATCTGAACCAGCCACTTGGTAGTTAAAACCCTTAAAGGTTAAAAAGGAAGGAAGAGAAAGAGCATGCACACCAGAGATAGCCTCTTAAGAAGCACCCCAGTCACAGCCACGCTTATCTACAGCAGCTGGAATGCAGGAGCCAAATTCAGCTGTTTGGCAGGGATCCATCTTTCTCTGTGCACACTTGACCTTAGCAATTACTCCCATGGTTTGTACTTGCCACCTCGATTTGACACACATAAGAGGTTGTTTGCAAACTCCAGTCAGAGTTAATGGGGACTGGCACCAGCACAGCCCTGAACTGGTAACTCCAGGACAATGAATCCCGTGGCAGTTTGCTCTCCAGCATGTTTGATTGCACATGATAAAATGTGGCAGGAAAATTTCCACCTGTTGAGACACCATGTTCTCGTTTCTTTGTTTTTCCTGGCTTTAGTTCACTTGGAGCCTGCAGGAGCCTCTCCTGGCACAACCTGGTCTGGAGGCCGTGAGCACATGCCCTGCACTGTTCAGTGAACCACATGCTCTGGTTATCCATCTCTAGAGCTCAGCCCAGGAAGCTCCTGCAGGGGACTGGGATTTCCCCATCCTCATTTCATTGCACATTTAAATTCTGGAATCACTGGGAAAGGCCTCCTGCTCCAAGAACGAGCCTCCACAGTCCTTGGCACAGAGCTGAGCAACCCAGATGACTCAAAACAGCCCCTGTGGTGGTTTTGCTCCTTCTGTCACACCACTCACAACTGACTGCCCTTTGCCTGCTCTCCATCCACCACTAAAAATAAATGTTAAAACCTACAAACCCAAAGGGACACAATAAATTAACACAAGACCAAGTTACACGTGCCCTGGCCTGTGGTATCAGTCAGTTCACCCACACTCTCCCCCGAGTTACACTTTACATGAACTCCTGGGCTGGGGAGCTGCTCCAAGGGCTGCTGGCACCCTCCACAGGGGCATCTCTAACAGCAGTGAGATGTAAATTACTGCTTAGGGAGAGAGACCACACAGATGCCCAGTGGATCCTGTCTGCAGCCTCAGCAATGTTCCACTCAGCTCGTGTCGTGTCCTCCCTGTAATCTCAGCCCGTGAGTTGCCCACAGCCACCAACGCTGAGCCCGAGGCTGTGACTTGTCACAGTGAAAAGGGTTTATTTCTGCAGATGCTGGAGGCTGTTGGACACAAAATAAACCACAGTGCTGGCAGCACGGAGCAAAGTGGTCTGACAGTTCACACCTTCCCATTTCTTGTGAAACAAAAGTAGGTGAAAGCTCTGCTCGCTGCCAGGGCAAAGGCAGCCTGAAAGGTTCACACACCAGCCACCAGTGCCACAGCCTCTAACCAGCTGCCTCACATCGAAGCTGGAGGATGAACTCAACCCTGCAGCAAAAAATACCGCTCTCTGGGGGCACAGAAACACAAGTCCAAAGCTCTGGAATCGCTTTCCCTTCAGAGCACACCCATCCCACTGCATCACGAGGGCAGAAGAGCTCAGAGCTGCATTACCAAACCTCCCGCCCGAGGTGCTTGCCGGTAACAAAAGCCACCAGAACAGGCAGCACAGATCATCCAGGATATCCTGTTCCCTCGTAAGCCAAGTCACCAGATTACACAAACCTTCCTCCTGCTGGACTTCTCACGGCAGCAGAGTGAACCTTGAGCCAGCAAACACCAGGGCTGGTGTGCTCGGCAGGGTGGAGGGAAGGAGACAGGTGGTAGGGAAAGAGATCAAACCGCATCTTATTTGAACGCGACATCTTATCTGGTCAGTGAAATCCTGGGGGATGATTCAGCCACTGCTAAAAATCAAGACTTCCTCTTCCAGCACAGAGCTGGTGTGTTCAGGCCCACTGATGGATCCCTCTCCCTCCCTCCCAAGCAAGCTGGATGCAGGGTTAGCACAGGCTTCTGCTCCACAGCCCTTGCTTCAGAAAGAGTCGTATTAGAAGTCGTTAAGCTGTAAGCTCTGACAGATAAACAGCACTGGATGCCACTGCTTCCTCAGCACTCCTGCCATCATCCCTCAGCCCCAGCATGAGGAAAATCAGAGCAGACAGAGCCCAGCAGAGCAACACAACCTCTTGGGATCCTTTCTGCAAGGTTTTTGTTGTTTCCTCACCACAGTAGTTCCTGCCCTGTCTGGTGAGGCTCATGTACAACATCCACCAGGGGGGCACAGCAATGGGGTAACTTCTTCTAATGACACAGCCAAGATTTCTCTTCAACCCTCAAGCCCACAGAGCCTCTTCCATGAGAGCCTCTCATCATATAAACTATTATTTAAATTCCATTTTCAACAAAACCAAACACACACACAGCAGCCCAGCCACCTCCACACAGGCAGAGCGGTGGCAGCAGCAGGATTTTCTCCTACTCAGATCCCTTCCCATTGACTCAGATTCCCTAAGGGAATGGAGAGCACCTTGGTTAGCTCAGATCATCTATCTAACTTTTACATAGCCTCACAGCAGACTATTCTATAATCACAAAATCACAAGCTGTGAGGTTAAAAAACCTCACAGTACACTGGCATTGGTTTAATACCATTAAAAATCATTTCTTCTTTCCTGTATCAAAATTTAGTAACCCCTGAGAGACTTAAGGAAGAATTAATTTGGCAAATGAAGTTTCCCATATGCAGGATAACTCTCCACCAGCTAACAGGGTCAGGAAGAATCCTCCGGTTTGCTGTGATCTCTTCCCTACAAACATCTCTGTGGTAATCACCACTGGGTACCAGTTCTTAGAAACTGTTTCTAGAAGATCCTAGAAGTGTCAGGTGAGCCAGCAGAGCCAGCTGAGCTTACCTTCCACGTCGTACCACTGGGCACCGTTCGTGATCCCATCCTGGAAGGTCTCTCCCTCCTCACCAGGGCAGTTGGGTTTGCCAGTTCTCATTATGGGGTGATGAGATGCATAAGCTTTTGCCAAATATTTGAAGACTTCATCATCAGCTGATTTACTGTAGACTCCTGTGGGCTTGTGTGTGGGAGAGTCATCGTAGGGATAGCTTGCCACCACGGAGCCACCATGGAGATTGCCAGAGAGCAGAAACCTGGGGTTGGGAAGAAGGAGAGTCATACTGGAACAATTTCAACAGGAAGCTGGCTACAGCCACCCAACCAGTTATTCTGCTGCTTTCCCACCCAAACTGAGCCCTCAGGAGCCTCCAAGCTCTGTTTGGGATCAACGAGGCAAAATGCACTCACTGGATGAGGTGCCCAGCAGTAAGTCAGGCACTTTGGAAGTGGAAGTGATTGGACCCTGCTCCATCAGCCCCGTGCAGGGAGAACACCTGCGGAGCTGCAGCTACACCAAGGTTATGTGAACAGACAGGCACTTGTTCAACACCCAGTGAGCTACTGCTGGACATGACACACCATTCTAGGAGACTCCAGCCTCCAGCACAGCCAGCAGGATTGTCAGAGGGTCTGAACAGCGTCCAAGTGGGAGCACTGTGGAGAAATCTACAGATTTTCTGCAATAATCAACTCTCAGGACTGGCTGATCGGCTCCCCTAACTGACATCTGGCATTACTGGAGATGGAACAAGTCTCTTGCTGCAGCCTAAGACCCAGCCCTCAAACTTTGTGCCAGACAAGCAGTGCCCTGCACACGAACCGATGTACACGGCTCTTCGTCAAGTTCTGAGCAACTCCTGGCAGGTACAGCAGAACCAACTCACACAAATAAAATCTGGATGTGAGACAGAGCTGCTAAAATCCCAACTCAAACAACACAGGCTCACAGGCAGCACAAGCACTTCAATCCCAAAGGTAATTGTCCCTGCTCTTCTTCTTCCCACCAAACCCAGCGCTGAGGGAAAAAGAGCTCTCCTGTGCACTCAGTCAAACGGGATTTGGTTTCCAAGGAGAGGTAACGTGACCGATACCTTTACTTTGCTTAAAATAGTCCCCGTGAATTGCATTACACCCACTATCTCCATTTTTAATCAAACAGTTCTGTTTACCCATTCATTTTTCTATCAGCAGTTATGTTAGTCTAACAATCACACCAGTATCAACTGGTGCTGCCAGGCAGAGGGATGCACAAAGCACCGCATTCTTCCTGTTTCACCCCGGCTGACAGCAAATCCCACCTCAAATACTCACAGGAAAAAATAAAATAAAAGGCTCAAGGTGTTTTCAAAACTGTATCAAGAATGCACATGAGTTTCCCTAGTAACTCATTTTGAGATGAACCAAATCACAGGGAAAGTGCTGCACCAGAGGTTTCCCAAAGGATCCTTTGGACAAGCAACTCTGGTGAAGTTCATGAAATTTCTCTGGAGCAGCATCCCCACGGACACTGCCATCCATCAAGTTTTAATAAAGATACTGAATAAATCCACCAAAATTTAATAGAGTTCAAGCAAATTTTGTTCCCTAAAGCTGAGGAAACGCACAATGCTGAACGTTGTATCTGTTGGTTGGAGTCAACCAACAGCACATTGTGGCCATCAGCCACCTCCTCTCCAGCTCTCTCTCTATCCCTGTTTTGGGAAGAGGGCCATAGTTTGTTTAAGTGTGTTGCCTGTATCCAATCCCACTTTGCCTTCCTGCTTTCTCCGCACAACTTCCCACGGTCGGTTGCACTGACCTTTGTGGTTTGGACCTTCCACAGCTCTCCAAAAGTAGAACACAGGGCAAACGAAGAGCCAGTGCCCACCTCGGCCACTGAGCTTTCCAGGGCTCCCCCAGACCCTCAAACCAGGGCTGGGCTTCAAAAGTGCCATTTCCTCTCCCGGGCTGCCCCACTCCAGGCACAGCAGCTTCCCACTGCTCCCCTCCTCAGAAGGGGAGAGCCAAACAGCTCAGCCCTGTGTGCTTCCCCAGGACAGACAGGGAAGAGGACTGTGAGAGCAGGGCCTGCATTTGGAAACGCTGCTGCACAGAGAATTATTGCTAAATCCAGGGAATTTTCCATGAAACACAGAGATGGGGGGAAGAAGCCCAGATCAACGCAGTTCTGTCAGCATGGTCGCACACAGACCAGCTGCTCACCTAACCCCGGACACTTCCAGCATCCCACAGTTCATGCTGAAAGCACTGTCAGCCCCAAGAGCACGACACACCAAGAGGCTCATGAGGGAAGTTTCCAGCCACAATCTCGGGGAGGTGGGACACGCGCAGATGGACAGGGAGCCCGGGAACACCTGGGCGTGTGCAGGGCACAGGCTGTGCCCTGCGGGGCTGGTGCGGCTCCCTGGCAGGTGCACAGAAACTGGGGCCACCAAATGCTCTCCCCGGGGCCAGCCCACCGCAGGATGGTCCCGGCTACGGTGAAAGGCCCACGCGGGGAGGCAGGCTAGGGAAAAACAGGTGGAGAAGGAGCTTTTCCTTCCCCCCCAGGCCCTCCTGGGAAGCACTGGGAAGGGATGGAAACCGGCTGACACCTCCGGGGAAGCGGAGCCGAGGTGCGGGGCGTCGGACGGGGGGAGGAAGGGGGGACCGCGCTGCACTCACTTGTTGCGGCTCATCCAGTCGATGAGCGCTTTCACCTCGGGCACGGGCTCCAGGTCGGGCTCGGCGGCGCCGAACTGGTCGGGGAAGCTGCGGTTGAGGTCGCGGCCTCGGCTGTTCTCCCGCCCGCCCTCCCCGCCGCCGCCGCCGTCGCCGCAGTCGCCCTCGCGGGCGCGCTCGAAGCCGTCGGGGTTGAGGCTGGGCAGCAGGTACAGGTCGGTGGTGTTGAGCAGGCGGACGATGCGCGCGTCGCCGCCGGCCCAGCCCCGCACCAGCTCCCCCGCCAGGCGCAGCAGCAGCGGCCGCGCCAGCGGCTCGTCCCCGTGCATGTTCCCCACCAGCTTCACCTGCGGCCGCCCGGGCAGGGCCGCGCCGCCCGCCGGCTCGTCGGGCCGCTCGGGGCCCAGCCCGGCCGTGAGCCGCAGCACCCACAGCGGCCGCTTCTCCACCGACTGCCCGATGCTGAAGAGCCGCGCCAGGCCCGGCGGGGCCGCGTCCGCCAGCGCCCGCAGCGCCTCGCCCAGCTCGGCCGAGTGCAGGTAGCGCAGCGCCTCGCCGGGCGACGCCGCCGCAGCCGCCTCCGCTTTCTTGATGTGGCGGGCGCGGGCCGGGCTCGGCGGCAGCAGCAGCAGCAGCAGCAGCGGGAGCACCGCGCAGAGGAGCGGCAGCAGCCGCGGCATCGCCCGGCCGAACCCCCGCGCCGCGCTCGCCACGGCCATGGCCCCGCGCGCGCCCCGGTCCCGCCGCGCCGCTCCGGGACCCGCCGGGGGGGCGGGGCAGTGCCGGGAGGGGGCGGGACCTGCCGGCGCGCCCGCCAATCAGTGGCGGGGGAGGGGGAGGAGCCGCCCGGGAGAGGCGCTGAGGGACCAATGAGGGGCGGCGGGAGCACCGCGTCACTGCAGGGGGTGGGTGGCATCGAGCCCTGCGGCGCCCCCTGGCGGCCGCGCCGGTGCCCCCGGGCCCGGCCCCGCTGCGGGGCTGAACCGGAGCGGGAGCGAGAGGGGGGCTCGTTCGCGGTCCCGGTCCCCGGAGAGGTGTTTCCGTCTCCATACTTGGCTCTCCGCGTTCATTATTTGCCCTCCCTTAAGACCCCGCGGAGCCGCTGCACGGTGCGGCTGAGGTGAATAATAATCGAGGAGTTGTGCACAGAAGGACAAACAGCAGCACCCTGACCTCCTCTCCAGAGGATAAAGTCTGAACGCAAACCAGAGCCTGGGGTGGAAGGACGGGGTGGGCTTTGCCTGGGCACGGTGTCAGGCTGCAGGTCGGAGGGCACAAAGTGCCGCTTTTGGGGCCTCTGTCTGCCTGGCGGGAAGTGCATGTGAGCAGCCCTGGCCACACTGCCTGCTCGGATCACACCTCTGGGGCTTGGACACATTTTAACATGATGTTTGCATGGTGTGTGGCTGTGCTGCCAGCGACTGCACAACCGTGGGCCTCAGAAGAGATACAAATTGTACTTTTGGGTTTCCTCCATCTGATTCCCTATGGGAGGCAGGTGAGATGATGACTAAAAGCAGGACACCTTACTCTGCAAAAATTGCCTCGCAGTGCACAAAACATTGAAAATATCCATCTCCAGCAGCAGATTCCTGTCAATTCCTGTTTAACTTTCCAGTAGTATCTTGTGTACACATCTGCTTCCCAGCTCTGGCATTTCCTGTTGGAGGCACAAGCTGCAAGTCCAGCACATAAAACCAGTGTTCAGGGGAACCATCAGTGGAGTGGCTCCTTCCCGTCACAGCATTCTGGGATCCTCTGCACAAGAGATCGGATGATGCAAACTCCTGTGTGAGCATCAAAAGGGCCCTGAGGAAAGGGAGAGTAAATTGGCTTATCTTTCTTGGGGCTCATCTGCACTACACAATCAGGAAGGGGACAAGCAGGGAACAAGGATTATCCATTATCCAAAAAGATGCCTCAGATCTAATTAAACTGGAAAATCCAAAAGACCTCGGTCATCAGGATGTTCTTAAGCCAAAGGGAGGAAGGAACATCAAGAGGCAATTTGACTGTCTCAGAAGTGATCACCCTCACACAGCTTTAAATCCTCAGTCTACAAACAAATTGCTCTGGATTTACCCAGAGTAACTGAGCTCATTTCCCTTTTTAGCTGATAAAAGCCCCGTTGTCTGGAACTCCAACAGACCAATTGTAAAAGCAGCATGTGGCAAAGGCTGATGAGTCACCCGCTCATTTGCTCAGCAGCCAGTAACAACAAACCCTTCACATCTCCTTGGAGAGCTCTGTCTTCCACATCCCTGAGTGAGCAAACCCTCAGGTTAGGGACCGACCTGCAAGAAGTCACCTCCTCCTGCTCTTCCTCCTTCTCTTCCTCTCCCTCCTCCTCCTCCTCTCTGCCCCGTGCCAGTGCTTGCTGTGAACTTCAGCCCTGGCACTCAGCAAGGTGGTTACTCAGGAGCTGTGGCTTTTGCCTCATGACACCCTGCACTGATTCCAGCCTTGGAACAGGAATGTGGTTTCCTCCTGAAGGTTGTCAGCAAATGGTTTCCCATGACCTGGAAAGAAGGAGCAGCGCAGCCTTTGCAGATTCCTCGCAGAGGGAATGAGGGGTGACGCCACAGCGGGGAAGTTAAAACTGCTAATATTGTCTGGCAGCACTTCACAAGATCAAATCAGCACTTGGTTTTCCAGCAGAGCACTTCCAAGAAATCCCACTGGTGATGAAAGTTCCTAGGTAGACAAAAATATCTGAGATCCAGGCTGCTCAGCAGCCACAGCGGAACACAGCCCTAAAGAGAAGCGGATCTGGGAATACTGCTAGGGAATGTCCTGTACTGGCCACCAGCGTGAAACAGGCACTAAGTTTAGCATCCTACCTAGTAATTTTTGTTTCCCAGAGGAAACAAAAACCCTTCAAGTCCAGCCCATCCGTTCCAGAGACGTGTTTTCTGTCTATAAGACTAACAAAGTCATGGGAACCTGGCAGGTAATCACTGCTACGACACAGCCTGACCCCCGGCTGAGGCAGGAGCCCACCTGGAAAATTGGGTCAGTCGGGTAGAAAATGGAGTTTCATGAGTGGATGACACGAAGCAAAGAATAACAGCATTGGTTTCCCCGAGTGCTGCTGGGTTTGAGAGCTCCAGGCTGCCAAGCAGGGCTCCCGAGGGGGGAAACTACAAGGGCCAACATTTAGGTGGAATTTCATACAGATAAGTCACTTTTATCTCCTGCAGGGGACCTATATTGCTAATTTAATGCCAAGCTCCTTTCCCATTTCCTTTTATTTGGGACCACATGTGTCAGGGCAGGACAGCAGCAGCCACACTAAGGCACTGTTTTTAGTTGTGATTGGTGACTGCAGCACCCACCAGGGCTGGATGTGACCCAGAGCGTGTGGGAAAGAGGGGGACCAGTGCTGACTGCAGGTAAGAGAAGCTGTGCCTACTGCAGTGCTTTCTTCTCAGCACAGGAAACACTGGCAAGTGCCCTGATGCTCCTGATTCCAGGTTGGACTTGCCCTCCTGAAGCACGGTTCTGTTCCTTGCACTCACTTCAGAAACTGAGAGTTTAAACCGTCCAGGAGCAGTTGTTTGAAATGATGACTGAAGTTCTCCAAGCCTAATTTACTCACACTTCTGAAAGTACACGAGTACAGCAATATATCTGTATCAGTAAAAGCCCAGGATGAGCTTCCTTATTGCATCAGAAGGAGCACAGACTCCACAGGGCACTTCCCACAGTGCAGATGAAAAACACCAGTGGAATCACCATCTCAGAGATGCCTCCTCCTCCTCCTCTGAGCCCAGAGGTTTGAGCAGACCTGCCCATGAGTGTGACTTTAGACTTCTACAGGGTTCACTGAGCTTGTGCCAAGGTGTTCACAGGGATCTCATCCAGTTTCCAGCACTCCCAGGTGACTTTGCTCCCTGCCACCTCTGGTGGGTGAGTACCCAGTAGGTGGCATTCACATCCAACACTTGTGCTGGAGCCTCACCTTCCTGAAGGCTTCTCTTCCACTATATTTATCCCAGGATCTGTTTCTTGATTAATTAATGCCTATTTTTCATTTGAATGTTTAATGCCCTCTAAGCAATTTATTTTAAAATTACACAATAATCACTGGTTTGGTGCTTCTTTTACTACTTTTCTTCCTTCTCAAGAATAAAATTCACTTATCATCCCTCTGCATTCGGGGTCACAGTGTGTGACCTTTATATAAGGACCATCAGAAAGCAGAATGATTAATAAAATCATGAAAAAAATACTTGAGACTGGTCCTTCTTGACAGTGGGAAATATGTGGGGTATAGGCTGGGAGTCTGGGAAATCAGGGCACATCACAGCTCCAGAATCTTTATACTTGGGGAAAAACAGGCTTTGTGGGAGGGAACAGGAGTGCTGAGTAAGTTCAAGCAGCGTTCCCTGACAGCCTCGCTTTCCACTCCTGCTATCTGGCAAGCGGAGGCAGTGGATTTGGGTGTCACAGTCATCCTCCAACAATGGAAATGTTGCAAAATACGGAGCACCACGTATTGAGAAGGGATTAGGAGCAGGGAACCGCAAGCAGTAGGAAGGCAGGAGCAGCCTTGGAGCAAGCCTCAGGCACTGTTGCAGAACCAGGTTTTCTGGAGCAGGATTACAGCCACGTTACAGGCATTGTTTGCTTGACAAACCAACCCATGGATATGATCCTGGGCTTCCAGTCTGGTCTGTGCAGATCCTGCCGTGCCCCTGACTCCAAGAGGAGTCCCTCACAACTCTGCTGGATATGAATTGAGATCTCATCTGCCAGGGAGACTGGGGAGGAAGAGGAGTTGTATCCCTGCAGGCACTGAGGAGATCTGTGCTAGGAGAGACTGCTGGGAAGTTTGAAATCAGAGGTTAAGGGGTTCCACCCAGTGGAAAATAAATTTCTGCCCAATCTCTATCACGTTCTAAATCTTCTCTTCTCGGGTTTCTAAGGCTTGGATTACACCCAGGAATAGACTGGTGCTTATTAATTAATTCCCTTTGAGGCTGCTCAGAGTCATATTTAACAACAGTCTTATTCTGGGTTTGTTGGTCCAGCGTTGCCATAAGGATGACAAACAGGAGCTGCTGTGGTGGATTACTCTGGCTTTAGCCCACGGTCTGTCTAATCCAGCCTTGGCAGCGCCTGAGCCAAGTACCTCAAACGTGAGGGTTGGATCCTTTGTCGTGGAGAGTTACAGAGTATCTGCCTCACCGAGGAGGTTCCTCCCAGACCAGGTCATTAGTGGCTGCTTGACATTCTGGAACGTGAGGTTCACGTCCCTCCAAAACGTAATGGAGAGGTGGAGAATGCAACCCACAGAACTCTAGACCTCAGTAATTAGACACCCACAAGTTAATCACACCCTGTACAAAAAGAAAAGTGTAAAAAGTCATTGCGAAAGCAATTCTTAGCCGTTCCAAAAAGCCGCCTTTCGGTGCCTTGGGCCAGAGACACCTTGATTTTCTAGTCCTTCTTCCTTCAGCAGATCTCAAAGCCCATTGCAAAAGAGGGCACTGCCATTGCACCAGATGAACCAGAGCTCACCTTGCTGCCCGTGTCAGGGACCTGCTGGGACAGAGTTTTACCCAGGTCCTGCTTGATGCTGGGCCCAGTGTCGTGACAAAGCCCCCCCAGAACAGCTGACAGCCCTTTCCTTTACTCTCATTTCTAGACTCAAAACGTGCCCCCAAACTCTGTGCTTTCCTTCTTTACATCCTCACCTACTCTAATCACATCCTGCTTCTCCTGGAGTGCCACAGCAGTGCAGGGATCTGAGGGATCACAGAGCTGCCCACGCTCTCCTGCCTTTGGCTCAAGTCCTGGCAGGAGCAAACAGCCATTTCCCAGCCCATTCCTTTGCATCCCTCCCTACTGCAACTCAGCTTAATTCCAAACCACAAAGATCACTTTACTCTTAGGAAGAGCATTTGGATTGAAGTTTGTACTGAACCAGAAGCCAACATTTTACAGTTAGTCGAATACTACGAGCACAGGACGTGTAACTGCCTAAAAATGTTGGAAGAAGCTAAATTTATTTCTTAAACTGAGTTTGAGGGTAAAAAGGGCACTAAAGGCTGGACACTAATTTCTAAGTTTTCTGGAAGGCAGACTGAGAACTGTCTCTTTAAGGGACTTTTGTACACGTTTACTTTTTTAACTGAAAATGATTCCCTGTTAGTTTTAAGGGTAAACCAACAAACAGAAAGAGATATATTAAGAAACACTCAAAGATGACCCTTGTTTGCAACAGCCCCACAAATGACTAGTGCTGTGTGTGCAGGCAGCCCTGGAGCAGGAGCCCTCCCTGCCCACCTCTGTGCTGCAAAGAAAACGCCAAGGACATGGCCCAGGCTCCTCCTGCTCATGAAATGCACTTTATGGCTCTGATGAGCCCATTGCTGATGAGTGATGTGCCCTGTGCCTGCAGGGACACTGAGAGCAGTGAGAACACATTCCAGGGAATGCAAGGTTCCTGTGCTTTGCACCGTCATCCTGCCGAGGTGTAACTGCATTTTCAGACAGTTTTCCACGCGGCAAAGCGCTTCAGTTGTGCCCTGGGCACACACAGCCCATGTACAGCTGTCTCAGCAGCAGGGACAGCTGGGACAGACCCCTCACTGGGGGGGACCAGGGCTGAGCTAAGCACAGGAGCAGCCTGGGGGCACACAAGGGTAGCAGGACAGTGTCTCTGTGCTCTCCTCTGCCAGCACACAGTTCAAAGTCTGAATCTGTGCATTTTCTTATTTTCCACTCAAAGGAGGTCATGGCGACAGAGCTTTGGGCAGAAAGAGGCAAACTGGAGTCTACTCCTGCTCTAGGACAACCTGGATAAACTTCCTATGGCTTGAAACAATGTTGTGAACACCCAGAAAGCTGAGAGGTAAAGATATTATTTTTGGCTGGAAGTCCTTATGGTTGATGCAGGAACTCTCTTGTTAGTTATTCATTGCCTTGGCAAGTCTCATAAAACAGCCCGTGGAGCCCAGCAAGTGCTTTTCTTCAGTGTTCTGGGAGCTCAGAAATCCAGGAATTGAACGAGGCCTTGAACCCATTTTATGGGTTCGCTTCTTACCAAACTACCATAAAATATTGAAATTCAGACCCTATAAATAAGGAGGGGAAGGAACTGTGCATTTCTCAGCCGAACCAGCCTCTCCAGAGACTCTTCCCAAGGTAAGTCTGGTGCTACACAGCCCAGAGACGGGTTCCCCTGGCAGATGATTAGGGACAACAAACTCATGTAATGGAGATTAGGGATATCCAACCCCCTTGAATCTGCTCTTAACTGGAAAATGCCCTGCAACAATCAGCTCAGTTTATTCCCTGGTGACCCTGTCCCTGCTGTGAGGACTCTCCCCAGGGTGTCTGATGGCAGCAGGGATTAACCCCTGCGAGCCCCAGCGGGGGCAGCAGTGCTGTGACCCTCTCTCCACAGACATCACCAGCTGGGCCTCCCAAGATGGCACAGAGACACAGGCTCGCCATTCCCTGCGGAGCACCCGTCCTTGCCATTTCCTTCCTGGCATGTGTAGCCACAGGTAAGCAGCAGAAAAAAATTCCATGGTGGTTTTGTCCAAGCCCCGTCATGCCGAGAGCCGAAACTGCCCGGGGCTGGGTGATGTGCCACAGCAGCATCCCAGTTTTGGGATGTTCTGGAGGTCATGCCCAGAGGGCTGTTTAAAAAATAGCTTCTGATTTTGAGAGCAGCAGGGAAGGGAATGGGGAAGCTTCAGCATTTTCCAGCAGTATTGTGGCAGCTGCACAGGACTGATGAGGTCACAGTTTCCAAACCTGCTCTAAGCAGGGAGAAGTGTGATAGCTTTGGCCACCTGGGAACACCAGGGAAGAGACAGGAAGCTTCAGAATTCTTTATATTCACAAGACTTTAGTACCTTTATATTCTGAGCTATATTTATAGTTCATTAGTCCATGTCTCAGGCTACAGTAGTGAGTTTCAGCCCATTGCAAAAAAATTATTTCCCGTACTTATTTCATTTAGTATGTCCTGAGGTTTGTACAACTCTGCAACTGCCAGACTCGGCCTGTCCAGGATGCAGCCGAGGGGCTGATTAACTAATTTATACTTCTAAGGACATGCAGCTCCAATTGAAAAACAGAGTATCAAACAGTGAGCACAAAACCCCAGGGCACAGTGGTGCTGCAGCAGTGACTGGGGGCAGGAGGGTGAGCAAGACCAGAGGGATGGGGATGATCTTTTGCTGTGTGTTACATGGTCACTTTTGTTGTCACAGGTCAGGCCTTGTTCTGTCAGTCACCTGCAAAAGCCTGGCTTTTTGTTTTAAACAACTGTAAAAGGGAGCTTTGTGATGAAGACAACTTCTTGTCTCAGAAACTAATATCCCACCTGAAAACAGGTGTTGTGCTGAAGCCTGAAAGTCTCAGTCCCTCCTCCGAGGCTGAAGCCTGGACAAGGGAGCAGGGCAGCTTCTGTGGGAAGGGAATGGCTTAGAAAGCTTACTGTCCTCGCCCTCCTCCTGCAGGTTTGGAGCTGTCCATAAACAACCACGCTGCCGACTTCCCCCTGTCTACGAGGCCTGGCAGCTCAGTCACCCTCTCCTGCCTCGTCCACAACAGCAGCCGGGCTGAGAACCTGCTCTGGTACCGGGGAGACGGGCAGGTGGGGCTGAAAGAGGGGAATAAAGTGAACATCAGCCACATCTGCGTGTACCCCGTCAACGAGTCTGACAACGGAGTCACCTTCACGTGCAAGCTGGCGCGGGACAAGTCCGTGCAGGTGTCTGTGACCCTGGATGTGGAGTGTGAGTCGCCAGGGTGGATTTGTGTGGGGAATGGCCGGGGTGGGATGGAGCCCTGGGCTGAGCAGCTCGGTGCCTGGGCGGTGTTTTGCACCCTTGTGCGCTGTCTTCACCAAGAAAAAATGTGTTTAGGAGGAGATAACTCACATTATAGGACACTCCCTTTCCACAGTGGTGCTTATGGCCTGAGCCAAGGCCTCTTTTATGGGGAGTGGGTGGGCCCTTAAGAAAGAGGTTCTGGATATGTCCCTGACTCCACCTAGATTCTTTCCCAGGGATACAAGTCAGGGCAGAGGAGATACAGGAGTGACAGGCACTGATTTCCCTGCTGATTCCTGGGATCAGAAAAGGCTGCACAACTGTGATGTGTTAGACCACTGAACAAGGAGCACAAGGGATGTATAAAGGGAATTTATTTTATGTTTAGTGGTGACCATTCTACAAGTACCTGAAATTGGAGCAAGGTGGGCTCAGTCTCTTCTTCCAGTTAACAAGTGACAAGAGGAAATGGCCTCAAGTTGCACCAGGGGAGGTTTAGTTTGGATATTAGGGAAAATTTCTTCACTTGAAGGGGTTATCAGTCAATGGAACTGCCCAGTGCAGTGGTGGAACCACCATCCCTGGAGGGATTTAAAAGATCAGCAAATGTGGCACTTGGGGACGGGGCTTAGGGGGTGGCCTTGGCAGTGCTGAGTTAACAGTTGGACTCGATCTTAGAGGGCTTTTCCAACCTAAATGGTTCTGTGCCTCTACGAGCAGCATTATTAATGGCCTATTGACCTGCATTGCTGTGAACAGTTCCTCCCCAGCTGAGCGGAGAGGAGACCCTCCAAATTGAGGAAGAGAAAGATGTTACTCTGACCTGCAACTCCAAATCCAACCCTCAAGCCCAAACAACTTGGTATAAGGACAACGGCAACTTGACCCTCCAGCAGGGTCGTCACGAGCTCCGCCAGACGAGCGAGGTCTTCCAGCTCTCCATCAGAAAAGTACAGAAGTCTGACAATGGGACCTACACCTGCGTGGTGGAATCTTCCTTGGGAAAGGGGACAAAGGATTTCCACCTGATAATTGAAGGTAATGAGGCTGCTGTCAGGCAGTAAGCTTTACAATTAACTTTCCGTTCTCTTTTACAATGACAGCAATCCATTTATATTAAGATGTGTAAGTGGAATGTGGTAAATTCCCCTCTGTGAACTTCTGAGGGCACAGCAACAGAAGGAGCTCTCCTGTCCCTGTGCCTGGGACCACAGCACCAGGAAGGGCTTGTCCTGCTCTACCTGTTATTCAGAGGTGTTTAGCAAGTGTGACCTAGACCCAGGGCAGGCTCATCCTACTGTAGCACTGCCCATGCTGACATGACACTCCAGCGTGGCTCAAAGCACCTCTGGTCTTGCTTGAAGTGTCTTACTCTGGCCACAAAATTCTGTCAAGCCCAAAGAGCTGCTTAAGGTTCTTAAGAGAAGCTGTGCTCCAGAAATGGGGCTGGGTGCTCAGGTCTCAGACAGGTGAGGTGACCCAGCAGGCATCTATTCCCCACCCTCTGTCCAGGCACCTCTCACTTCCCCACTTCTACACTCAGGGCACAAGATAAAAAGCAGCTTTACCTGTGTCACATTATTCCTGAGCAATAACAGTGCCTGGGGGACAGACTCTCCTTCTGGAGCTGATGTTTCAGTCCTTCTTCAGTTCACTAAAACACGGGCTCAGCTCTCTTCTTTCCAGAGGACCAATGCACACAGTCAGTCTGCAAACAGCAGAGAGAGCAGCAGTGGCAGCTGTGGGGAAAGAAATAGGTCTTTCTGCAGTCCTGTGAAATGATCTGGGTTATATCACTGCACTAATCTATCAAATATCCAACCTCCTCTTTCCTGACAGAGAAAAAAACTGTTTTTCCCAAGGAGGCCGTTATTGCTGCTGCTGTAGTGGTTATAATCACAATATTTTTTGGAATTGTGGCCCGAAAAGATAAATTATTTAAGGTAAGGAAAGCTCTACTTTCACAGGAAAAAAATAGTTTGTTGCAATGCCCTGTTTTTTTCCTGCCTTTTATATTCTACTTCATAGTGTTGCTTTCCACTGTTAGAGAACTGCTACATAGTTCCTCCTGCATTAGAATTACCAGTAGATAAATCAAATATTAGATATTTTAAGGGAGGCATCACATACTTGCAAGATATTTGTAACAATATCCCTTTGGTCAGGAAATGTGAAAGATAACAAGACTGTTTCTTTCTTTTCAGTGCTTCAATAAATCAAGGGAAACATCTCTGTAAGTATTTGACTGCTTATTTGTGCTTATTCCAAATGAACTTCCTTTAAAATTGCCAGAACCTGGAAAAGGGCACTCAGCATGGCCCACACCTTCTGTGCCAGCGGAGAGTGGTCCCTGGGAATATGGCAGGACACACACAGATCCTGCCCCAGGCTCCTGGCCTTGCCCTGGCCACCCCAGCACCCTGGCTGTGCCTCTGTATGGAGGCACTGGGGATAAAAGCTGATGGTGCTTTCTGGAGCTGAACTCAGCCCAGGTGAATTCAACCCACTTATGAGGATTTTCCCAGTAGGTGATTTTTCGTTTCTTCTGTTCATTTTGCTGCAGGTAAAGAACACAGGGTTCCTGTGCACACCCAGAAAACGTCATCTCTAGGAGTGGGACTAAGGCCTTGCGTGAGATGATGAGATAAAGCACTGAAACAAGTTTTTCGGGTCAAGTTTATATGGCTTCTTTTTTTTTTTTTTTTTCCCCCCCAAAATATAACTGGTTCTTTGCACCTGTTGATTCTAAACTGCTGCTTAGAACCTCTCCATCCACCCCTCTTTGAACCTCTTAGAACCTCTCCATCCACCCCTTCTCCCAACAAATGCGCCACTCAGGCACTTTTCTCAAGGTCCTGGCAAGCTGTTGAGGCCTCATCATGCCTTGGATGGTACATCACTAATGTTGTAAATCAACCTGAGACTGCAGTGCACCGACACTGTTCTCGGAGGAGCAGGGCTGTTACTCACCAGGGAGACTCCACAGCCTGATCCAGAGCGTGATCCAGAGCGTGTCCTGGACTGATGTTCCCCAGGGCTCAGGGAGGGCCATGTCGGTGCCACCTCACGCTCCCGAGTGCTTGGCGTTGGCACACTGCCCTTGTGCCAAATCCAGCAGAGCTGGGGGTGACACCGCGGGGGTAGAGCTGGGTTGGGTACAGCGGGATGGGGATGTTCCAGCCAGGTGTCCCGTGCCCAGGGTGACACCGGCCCTGAGGGAATGTGGCTGCCTGAAGCCACACACAGCCCCTGACACTGCTGCTCCTGGGGTGGGTGTGATGGATCTGTGTGAGGGGTCTGTGTGAGGATTGGTGTGAGGGGTCGGTGTGAGGGTTGGTGTGAGGGGTCAGTGTGAGGGGCCGCTGTGAGGGGTCGCTGTGGGGGTCGGTGTGAGGGGTCAGTGTGAGGGGCAGATGTGATGGATCTGTGTGAGGGTCAGTAACAGGGGTCGCTGTGAAGGGTCGGTAA